ATGCCACAACGTCTGTTGTGCTATGGTCTGGTTTGCGAACTAATACTCCTTTTTGTGCACAGCTTCAAATGATAACGTGGATGGCGCAATGTAGTGTCTATCTTGGTGAAGAATACACTTTAATAGTGGTTGGAAGAATCTCACAGTTCAATTGTCGTCACCAGACAGAAGTGACTGGCATACATTACACTGAATGTACTGCACCCACAGTATGTTTACTACTAGCTCATTGGGTTTACCTGGCTATCTGTCTATATTGTATGGTGAAGAAATAAATCTTTTCCCCCAAAAAGCATGTTTCACGGTTCGCTTGGGACTCGGCTACAGGCCGAGTTTTCCGCATCCGTAGGAACTAGGGGTCAAAGGGATGTACCGGGTACCCGGGTACCCGACCGTTAATCTTAGGTACGGTGACTACCGTCAGTAAAAGGGTACCCGTTTGGATTTTGATGGACCAGTCAGTACGGAGCAACACTGCTGGGATCGTGTATTCCAGGCAGGAGTCAATTATTATTATTTACAACTCCATGCTGGATGTCTGCATTGTTGTTGCATTTTCGCACCTACATTGTAGTAGATCTACTCCTGCGACTATCAGACACCAATCGATTTGCGAATCACAACATGATATCAAAATGCAACCCGAGAACAGATGAATTCAAATCTTGATTTATGTGAAAATTGAGCAAAAAAATAAACATGGCTGCTAAACCCGCCCGTTAAGAAAATTACCCGTTCGTTTGTTAAAGGTACACCCGTTTGACCCCTAGTAGGAACGCCACCACCCTTCAAGGATCCAAGACAGCGACCAAATCAGACACCCATAATCTTACCTCTTGCAAAACCTGAGCTCTATTTACAAAGTCAACCAGTGGATCCGTGGTGTCATCAGGCCTTCCACTGTCGACTCGTCACTGTTTATCCTTTTATGGTTGCCCTAGCTTTTCAACTGTGTCAATCATCATCGCAAAACAACTCCGAAAACGGACATAGTCACTATCTTCCATTTCAGACTTCTTTGCAAAAGGACAGCTCGCTAGCGCCGCTTTAACCGATCCTTTCCGATCAGCTTAGATTATACCATCGACCCCGTATACATGCCGAGTCAAACATTGCCGCATCCCGTGCACAAGCGCCCACTGGCGTAAGAGATCCCGCTCGTCTCTAGACGGATCACCGCAGGCCCAAGAAGACCATGCTTCACCGTACAGCTGCCATCAAGCTGTTGTTTAGAAGGACTGGTCCGGCCTCTGTGCACTGCATGCAGTTTGCAGTTTCAGAAACCAATGAGGTACAGGTACATTCACATTGCCCGGCCACACCAGTATGCTCACCATGTACCAGTGGCCAAAGAGCCTGAAGCCTCTCCAGCAACCCATAATGAGTCTACTCCTGCTGATGGCTCTTCAACTGCCCCAGCATAAAGGGCAATGGTGCAGCATAATGCTGTGCTGTTGTCAATAACTAGTGGTGGTATACCTGCTACTAATTCGACTGCAAGCGGCGAAGTGTTCTGGCTGCAAGACTGTGGCCACGGTGGCCACTGTGTGAGACTGTGGCCGCTCTAATTTTTAATGTTAGCAGAAGTGCAACTACGCTATTTTTAGCCATGCAAGCAGTATCAGTAGGTTCCTCGTCACGCCTAGTTTCTTATTTGTGCCAATTTTTTCTTGAAGGGGTGTTTGGCCCGCTGTTGTTGGCAATGTTGGGTAATGGCGGGTTCTGCCGATTCTGTGATGTAATGAATCTTCCACAAGATGTTTTCAAGGCTGCATTTCAACGCCACCAAAATATCTCTACGCAGCTGCAAAGTCTGTTGCTGAAACTAGTATGCAGCAAGTGTTTGCAGAGGTCAAAGCCTTGGACGCGAAAAAGCAGGATCTGAATGTGGCCGCAGTGATGTTCGATTGCGCATGGATGAGGTGAGGCCTCATGCCACTTCATCTTGCATTCACATGCATCAATTGGAACACCGGCCTTGTTCTTGACATACATGACTGTGCTATACGCAGTGAACTACGTAACCATGGCCCAATTCAATGACAGTTCTCTGTCTCGATGCTCAAAGTGTCGCCATCCGTGGGTTGCAGACTGCCAGTGAAGGGCACTTCACTCAGGAGTATCTGGCTTAACAAGACGGAGAGAGGGTGACATCAGCGGAGAGAAAGGTGAAGGTAGGAAGAGATAAGTCGAAGAAAGCAAAAAAGCAGGCGTAGGAAGGGTTTGGAGGAACAAAACGGTGGAGGATGAAGGTAGTGCATATGCTGCGGGCGGGATTTGCTGGAACTAAGTTACTGAATCCCTGAACTGTATAAAAAAATCAAGTACAGCCAATGACTTGGCGCGAATATTTCTGCTATCCTTTATGCTAGACCCATCAACCAATGCATTTTGGAATCTACGTGAAGCTAGGGAATCAATGGAGAAGATTTGAAGATATTGTTCTCAAAACGAGATTTGGCATCTGAAACTTTCAGACACCTAACCTTGAATCCTGAGACTTCTGCACGAAATTTGCACTGCTTTGTCAAATTTGTGATGTGTCTTATAGGGGTTTCACACTCCCGTTTATTTTCACGTTTGTAGGAGCTGAAAACGTAGCTCTTCGTGGCCATGCACTTTTCTCCCACGTTTTGCAGCAGTTCCCATGGAGATAGCATTGCGTCATCATCCATAGCACGTGCACCCGTGCAGGAAAGTGGGGGAAATTTTGAATTTGAGTACAGTAGGTATCGGTTATAGCGTGGGTGTTTGAAAAACGACATTTGATTCTTATTGCCGATATTTCTTACCCACGATAAATCACGTGTGACATATCATATGCACGTGTGACATCATATGCGCGCACGTTTGGCATGTGGACACGTACACATGATACACACGGATCAATCAGACTCGCGGTCGTGCTAGGCGACTGCGGAGCAGAGGATACGAGAGAAGTCGGAAGAAAGAGTCCGACTGGACAGAAAAAGTGATTCTCCAATGCTCCCTTGGACATAACACTCTTTTTGTGTTGAATATTATTGTATTGTCTACTTGAGTATGCACAGAGCATAGATACTATTACTACAGGCGATACACTTTGCACTAATCTGGCACATTTTGCTACACAAAATCCATTCTTAGGGCCGATATATTCTACTATGTGATAATACTGCTTGTAAGAATAAATATACACATAAAATATGTGTGGCTCATAAACCCAGAGATATTCTCGAAAGGCAACTAACTGTCTTGAACCATACTCAGATTTACTTCGATGACCATTCAGAAGAATACCATCACAAGCAGAACTCTGGAAAACAACAACTGTGCCTACGCTCCGATGAACTTATATAGCAAGAGCGACGGCCACATCCAACACCCTGCCTCTACACCAACACCTAGCACATGCATGTAGATAAGAAGAGCGCGTGATGACGAATAAGGTGCTAAGTGCTAGCGTAGAAACAAGGCGCTAGACGTAAGAAGAGCGCGTGATGACGAATAAGGTGCTAAGTGCTAGCGTAGAAACAAGGCGCTAGACGTGGCGCGTACAGGCAACGATTTAGCAGAGCATGGAGAGGAAAACTGTTCAGCAACATTCAAAGAAGCAGAACGAGAACGAATAATACTTCAATTGAGGCTACCTCCGTAACATTCTCCTCTTCCTCGATATGAGACAACGTGACCAGATCGAAATAAAACAAAATAAATAGTACCTTACTAGCTCCACCACTAAGAACCCAACATCGTGTACTTAGCAAAGCAAGTCCAGGTGGCTAGACAGCAGGTCCGCAGCAGGGTAAAGATATAGCAATACCGCTGACTAATAATAATAAGAAGATAGAGGACATGCAATGATTTTTAGAAGACAGACAGCAGAAAAGCTGTCCACATCAGTCCATCACTCTGGCGCATACTCCAGTGGGCACAAGCGGTTGATGGGTCGCACAAGAGTACGATCACCCACCTGCACCTTGGCAACACGTACTCGTTCATCCTTCCCGGGGTAGACTTCCAGAACCCGAGCCAAGGGCCATTTACGCCTAGCGGTGTCTGGAGACAGCAACAGCATGACATCACCAACCTTCACGTTGCGTTGGTCTGCCGTCCATTTGACCCGCTTGCTGAGCTGAGGCAGCCACTCCTGGATCCAGCGACGCCAGACATGCCCAAGCAGCTCCTGAATGCGTTGCCATCGCTGACGCGGATGATCAGACTCCGGTAGGACGACTTCTCCAAGTCTCCCGTTCAGAAAATGATTCGGGGTGAGGGGCAAATTGTCGTTGGGGTTGACTGATATGGCAGTGATCGGGCGAGAGTTGATCAGATCCTCTGCTCCGGCAAAGGCGGTCAGCAGATCCTCGTCGGTGATGTCACTGCCAGACAGAATGTGGTAAATAGCACGTTTGGCTGCCTTCACCATAATCTCGAACACACCACCGAAATGAGGTGCTGCTGGAGGGTTGAACGACCAGGACACACCATGATGTGCGGTGCCCGTCTGGATTTTGGTTTGGTCGATGTTGCGAATGAGGTCCTTCAGCTCCCGAACTGCACCAACAAAGTTTGTGCCATTGTCCGATATGACTTGATTGGGAAGGCCGCGCCGGCTCACGAACCGGAAGAAACAGTTGATGAAACTAGATGTGTCGAGTGAGAATGCGAGCTCCAGATGTACAGCGCGCGTCTCCAGACACGTGAATACACACAGATAGCGTTTGGTTCTGGCCCGACCGCGTCCCTGCATGGTGAGGAAGGGGCCGGCGTAGTCGACGCCCACGCGGCTGAACGCACGATGAGAGGGCACGATCCGACTGACCGGCAGCGGTGCCATTCGTTGCCCAGCTGGCTTGCTCCGGTACCGGCGACAGACTGCGCATTCCTGTTCCCACTCGTGGACGGCCTCCCGTGCGGCGATGACCCAATAGCGGGCGGCGAGCGCAGACAATGTTGCGTTCGTCCCCGCAGCGTGCTTTCCCTTCTCGTGTTGGAACCTGATTAGCATCTTGGTCACGGCATGCTTCCGCGGCAGGATGATCGGATGGACAGCGTCTCGTGGCAGGAACTCCGCATACTGCAAGCGCCCTTCACAGCGTAGAACACCATCGTCGTCAAGAAATGGACACAGCTTGGCCAGCTTACTGGTAGCATGCACTGCTTTGCGTTTCCTCAGGAGGACTATCTCAGCAGCGAACGCATCACGCTGCGTGTTCCGAACGACGTACAGCTCTGCGTCAGCCAACTCAATCGGGGTGAGCTCTCCTGCCAGGCGATCCTCTGCTGCTGCACGGCAGTTCGAGATGAACCGCCGGACCCATGTGAGCGTACGGATGGTCTTCTGCCAGTCTAGCCACTTTGCTGGGTCAATGATCCAATCCTGCTCGGGTGGTGCATCGTTGGCACTTTGGACGTCTGCATGATACGTTTGCATGTCCTGCGAGCGGTTGCGTGGCAAACCTTTTACCTCCTGCCGAGCGCCGGAGCTGGGCTGAAGCGTAGGGCTGACGTCTGCATGATACGTTTGCATGTCCTGCGAGCGGTTGCGTGGCAAACCTTTTACCTCCTGCCGAGCGCCGGAGCTGGGCTGAAGCGTAGGGCTGGCAGGCCATGGCTCGTCGGTTGACAGGAATGCGGGCCCAGTCCACCATAGGTCCGATGATGTCAGCACTGCTGCAGTACATCCACGAGAGACCAGATCTGCGGGGTTCTGGTCAGTGGTCACATGCCGCCATTGCTCTGGCTGCGTGAGACGACGAATCTCAGAGACGCGATTGGCCACGAATGTCTTGAACTGCCGACTGTGACCATGGATCCACCAGAGGACGTTCATGCTGTCAGACCACAGATAGATATCCTGCATCTCGAGAGCAAGGCTGACGACGGCTGCCAAACGGGCTGCCATGACGGCGGCTATCAACTCTAGTCGTGGGATGCTCACCGCTTCCAGCGGGGCGACTTTAGACTTAGCTGCAACCAGCCGGCATGTAGCTCCACTGGGGTCCTTGGAAATGATGTAGGCGACAGCACCCATTGCCTTCTCGGAGGCATCTGCGAATACGTGCAGCGACGACACACCGTCAGCTGCCATGAGTGGTCTTGGAATGCGTAGCGTCTGCAGATCCCGCGCATCAGCAATCCACTCCTTCACCAGCTTGTCCACAGAGGGCTCCAGTGGGTCGTCCCAGGTCGAGCCTCGCAGCCACAGTTCCTGGATGAGCATCTTGCCTCGAATGATGTACGGCGCCAGCAGACCCAGCGGGTCAAAGACGGATGCTACCCGTTGTAGCACTCTCCGCTTGCTGAACTCCTGGCCGGAATCCGGTGGGATGGCAAAACTGAAAGCGTCGCTAGCAGCGGACCACGAGATGCCTAGCGTCTTCACTCTTGGCAGCTCCCCTGGTGACAGGTCGATGGAGCGTCCATGTTCTGACTCAGGTATCACTGCCAGAAGCTCGGTCGAGTTTGAGAGCCACTTCGTCGGGTGCATGCCGGCCGACTCCCACACCTTCACAAGAGACTTGTAGAGTGCGATGCCATCAGCGACGGTTGGCACGGAATCAAGCGTGTCGTCCATGTATGTGGACTTGTTGACTGCTTCAGCCGCACGTTCATCCGTACTGGTGAGCACCCTCGCATGCTCCTGGGAGACGAACTGAGCGAGGAATGGTGATGAGGCGAGTCCGAATACCACACGCTGGAACTCATACACTGCAGGCTGCGCATCGGAATCACAGTTGCGCCATAGGAATCGTTGGTATGGCCGGTCGGATTTGTGCACACCAATCTGCAGGTACATCTGCTTGATGTCACAGGCAATAGCAACAGGATGCTTGCGGAACCGCAGGAGCACGTCGCAGATGTCCCGTTGCAGCTTCGGCCCCTTGTTGAGGAAGTCGTTCACTCCGACGCCTTGGAACTGCGCCGACCCATCAAACACAATCCTCACTTTCGTTGTCTGCTTGTCCAGACGGACCACCGGAAAGTGAGGCAGGTACCAGATGCTGTGTGGTCGTGGTTCCTCCTTCGGCACACGGCGGATATAGCCCTTTGCCAAGTACTCTTGGATGATGGCGCTGTACTTGGTACCCAGACCGTCCGTTAGGAGCAGCTTCCGCTCGGTGCCAATCAGTCGTTTGCGTGCCATGGCGAAGTTGTCGGGCAGGACCGGTGGTGTTGTCTTCCACGGAAGGCCCACATGATATCGACCGTCGCTGAACGCCAGGGATTCCCGTGTCTTTGTGAGCAGTTTCTCCTCCGCCGGTGACAAGTGTGGCAAGTCGGGTACGGCTAGCTCCTCGACGTCCCAGAAGCGACGCAGTAGCTGACTGATCTCATTGCCGCCGAGCTGCAGCTGCGCATGGTACGCATGCCCCATACGCGAACTGCCTGGGCTCGCCCGTACCGGCCCCACACAGGTCCATCCTAGCGGGGTGAGCCGTGCGACTGGTTCACCCGGCTTACCAGTCACCTCGTGCAAGGACTGGTGCGCTGCGACACAGTCCAGGCCGAGCAGAACGTCGACTCGATCAGGCTTGGCGGTGGGAGGGAAACGTATCCCTTTGAGATGTGGCCATGTCGATGCGCCGCGGTGCCAGTTGACTGGCTTCAGGCGTCCTGTTGGGTGCCGCACTGTCCAAGCATGGAGGTCTGTGCTGAACATGCCGTTGACACTTGCTACGCTGCAAGACACATGCACCGACTGAAATGTACTCGGTGTTCCGTCCAACGTGTTGACCGTGATGCTCTGCAACTCCCCGTGCAGACCAAGTTCGTGTGCTACGCCCTCACTGATGTAGCTCATGGTGCTGCCATCGTCCAACAGTGCATTGACGTGAATGCTTGTGTCGCCGTGCTTGATGGTGACCGGTATCGTCCTCAGGCTGATGGTCACGTGGGTGCTCTGGGAGGCGTAGCACTCCTCTTCCGTGGACGGAGAACCCTCCGTGACGACGGAGCAGAATGTCTGCTGCTCTGTTTGGCTGGACGACTGTTGGGTGCTAGCTGTGTTTGGCATAGCGCATCCTGCCCGACGCCCTGAGACAGAGTTCGCTGCTGGTGCCTGTGTGGACGGGCGTGTCACGCTGCTAAACACAGGGCCTCTGCTCTGTGTGGCGTGCAGAAAGCGATGATGGAGCTTCGTGCACCCGTCCAAACCACATGGTCGACTCCGCGTGCAGTCGCATCCATTGTGGCCGACATCCAGGCAGCGGAAACACACACCTGAATCCTTGGCAATGCGCCATCGCTTGTTCACTGTCGCAGCTTTGAAGGATAGGCACTGCCACAGCTTGTGTTCACCTTGGCACACGATGCACTTTTGTGATTTGGCTGCCGGCTGGCTGCTGGTCACGAACGTGCTTGGTCGAGGCGACCGGTGGACCTTTGTTGGCTGTGACGGCTCTGCCTTACTCACGGGAATCAAGCCAGCTTTCGTCTCCGCAGCGGAGACCATGAACTCTGCTTCCTGGGTACAGTACTCAAGCAGCTCTTCTACCGACTCAGCCTTAGCTTGTTCATGCCGCCACCGGTGGTAGCGGGTGATCAGCTGCTCATCCAGCTTCTTGAGAAGAGTCAGGTAGAAGGTTCCGGCCGCCAGCTCAGTAGCTCGGCCCGAGTCCTTCAAGTTAATGACAGCGACTGCCAGCAGTTCCGAGAACCGCTCCAGGTCTCTCGGGTGCTCCTTCCGCACGGGTTTGAGGGCCTCAATTTCTTCCAGATGGATGGCAACTCGGCGCCTCTCTCCGCCATATTTTCGGTGCAATAGGGCCTTGGCTGCATCATACGCAGCGATGGTGTACCCGAATCGGTCGATGGCTTTTAACGGCTCACCCTGGACATACTGTCTTAGTCGAAGCATCTTGCATTCCGCGGTTAGCGGTGCCTTGTCCACACAGGTGGAAAACGCTGCCCACCAGGACTCGAAGCGCCGTTTATCGCCATCGAATGTGGGTATTGTGATTTTCTTCATACTCGCCCATGGCCCGATGTCGGCTGCTAGTGGTCGTTCACCCGTCAGTGGAGGCTGATACATATGGCTGCTCGAGGACCCAGTCAGTTGGGGAGCCATGGATGTGTTGGGGACTGTCACAGCGGGGACGACCGTTGATGCACTTCCAGCTGCACCTCCAGCTGCAGGGACCGTTCTAGGGGGTAATAACACACTCACTGCTGGTCTCAATCTGGACTGAGTGCTGGCAGTGGACTGGTGGCTCTGACTAAACTGAACAGACTTCTTGGTCAGCTGGGCCGTTCCCAGTGTGGTGTTGCTGACGCTGCGCCTCTTGGTGGGCTGACTGACTGCGCCTGGCATAGTACTACTGGCAGTACCATCATTAGCACTGGCCACTGACACACTGCTACCACTGGAACCGGTCACTGGCGCTGATGCACTGCCATTGCTGGTCTGATCAGCACTAGAGGTACTGGCAGTAGATGGTGTTGGAACCCGGTGTGGACTTGTGACACCTTGACTCTCATGAAAGGCCAAGGCACTTAGGCTACTAGGAGAAGTCTTCATGCCAGATTCCACCAGCCCAGATCCAGCAGACCCAGAGTACAGCATTGACCTGGCCCCCAACTGGCCAAAGTCAGACCGCTCCGCACCCACCTCCGTCAAGTGATCTGGCGTCATCATTGGAGCTGAGTACCTCGCCGTCGAGTACTGGCTGTATCCCAAGCCATGACCAGCTCCAAACCGCCCACCAACACTAGCGCTGTACGTGGCTTCTTCCAGTGCTCTGTTCACAGCTGCGCTGTACTTCTCCTCAAGCTCTTCCAGCTCCGCAACCAGCTTCCTCCGTTTCGACAAGTCTCCGTCTCCAGAGCACAGTCCCAGGAGATCGCCCACGACGCCTGCTGCACCAGAGTACGCGTGTTCCAGATATCCAAGGTCGTCATCACCAATCCCCTCTCCGTTCACTATCCGAGTCAGCAAACGTCTTCGAATGTTGGTGAAATTGTCCTTGGCATTGATCTTCATCGTTCTCAGGCATTCTTCGCTGAACGCCGGTTCTTCATCATCATATTCTTGTTCTTCGTCATCAATATCGGAAACTCCAAAATCCTTCACCGTGCCCTCTGACTGCTGAATGCTGCTTGAACCGTCACTACGGGGGACCTGCTGTTCGTCCGCCAAACCTACGTCCGTTCCTTGCAGACTCTCGTCACTTGCCACTGACAAAGAACTCTTTGTTTCCGCCATGGTTAACATTCAAACCATCCTCTGCTACCAAATAATGTGGCTCATAAACCCAGAGATATTCTCGAAAGGCAACTAACTGTCTTGAACCATACTCAGATTTACTTCGATGACCATTCAGAAGAATACCATCACAAGCAGAACTCTGGAAAACAACAACTGTGCCTACGCTCCGATGAACTTATATAGCAAGAGCGACGGCCACATCCAACACCCTGCCTCTACACCAACACCTAGCACATGCATGTAGATAAGAAGAGCGCGTGATGACGAATAAGGTGCTAAGTGCTAGCGTAGAAACAAGGCGCTAGACGTAAGAAGAGCGCGTGATGACGAATAAGGTGCTAAGTGCTAGCGTAGAAACAAGGCGCTAGACGTGGCGCGTACAGGCAACGATTTAGCAGAGCATGGAGAGGAAAACTGTTCAGCAACATTCAAAGAAGCAGAACGAGAACGAATAATACTTCAATTGAGGCTACCTCCGTAACAATATGTGTTATGATTATGAAAAAATGAGTGTTCATTCTTGTAGGCAGTATATTCTTGTATACGACCACACTATAACCGATACGCACTGTATTTTGAGTCGCGGATTTTTGACGCAACATCAACGCAAGATGGAGCTGAAGGATTTCAAGTGAAGCTGAAGAGAAAAATGGACACTGCAGGCATCCCACCCTGTTTGCTTTTGTTGTTGATCTAGCGAGGCTTGAACCAGCTTCCGCCAAGTAGAGGCAAGATCGCAGGAGATAGAAATCACAACTACCAGGTTTTGACAAGAAGTCGAATGAGAAAGAAGCCTCGTGTCGACTGCGAGTATAATTATGTAGGTGAAATCCTCTCAGCCGCCACGTGTCAGCTCCATTGGATTTCCCTGCCAAATAGTTTCCTGGACGATGATTGGTTCACATGATTGCCGAAACTCAAGAACGGCAAAAATCATAGCCGTAAACGTAATCGTGACTGTGGCCGCGGGGTTCTGTGCCACGTCTACGTTTCCCGTTTACGTTTCGGGAAAACCCCCAAAAGAGTCGGTCGCTGCTATGATACTTTGCCGTAAACGTGAAAATAAACGTGAGTGTGAAACCCCTATTACCAAGAGTACATGAAAACCAGAGTGTGCAGCTCGGATGGGTTGCTGTCACGGCGAAATTCCGTGATTACATCATTTTAGTGATGTAGTGCGTACAAGCAGGATTCAAGCAGGTCTCTTTCTGCACAACTGCAGCGCAGTTGTACGCACTGCGCCATTTCCCGCCTCAGATCTGGGCCAAATATGATGTAATCACGGAATTTCGCCGTGACAGACACCCATAGCAGAAAAGGCCCCAAGCTGCACACTCTGGTTTTCATGTACTCTTGCTATTACTCTGGATTCTGCTTGATCTGGCCATTTTTTTTCATTCATTTCCTGCTTATTTATACAGTCAACCTTGTGAATACCCCATGTATTATACCTGAGGTCGCTGTTCACGAGCTTGACTGCATGTGATTGTTCTTTGTTGATACACTGAAATGCTCCCTGGTACTGATTTGCATGCTTTAGTTTTCCTGCCCGACTTGTGAGCTGTTTTGCGATCCGCGTGTTGGTCTTTTTGTGTCGGCTAGATAATGACTTTGGATAAAGTTATGACCATGTGCGCTACATTTCTAGGATGGTCTTTTACTGAACACATGTAGAATAATTTACTTGACCTCAAGTGCATGCACATACATGATGGGTAACTTGCACCTTTTTCCGCTCATATACATGTACACTTAGCAATCCCTATATGCAGCATTATCAGTACCGTAATTCCGCGCATATAAGCCCACGGGCCTATATCCGGATATAAGCCCACCTCCGTTTATAAGCCCATGGGCTATTAAACAGACACAAATGCAACTCATGTGTCAAGTAGAATTTTTCACAAAATGGGACTCTTCCTGCCATGGTACAGCAGTTCAGTGCAGTTTACCAGTAGAGTATGGTAGGCCCACTATGAGCACGGACTTGTACTTTTTCGTGAACCTTCAAAATTCGAATATTGGCCCATGGGCTAAAAAAACCAACATGTTTTACTGGATATTTTATCCCCAAACTGCATTATTTCAAATATAAGCCCATGGGCTTACATGTATATGCGTGGAATTACGGTACATGTACTTCGAAGTACTACTAGATGTCTGAACCTACGGAAGTAGTACTGCTGAAGTTGCACCAAAGTAGCACCAAAGTAGCACCAAAGTAGCACCGAAGTAGCACCAAGAGTACATGGTTCTGTACTCTTGGTAGCACTAAACAGCATTAGCTGTCTGCACCTAGAATACACTCTATAACCAGTACATGACAGGCCATAGTCTATAGAGTACACTCTGTAACCAGTACATGACAGGCCATAGTCTATAGAGTACTTACATGATTGAAGTCGTAATACACAAAGCTTTTCAGAATAGAAGCCCTGAAAACGAAGGCAATCAGACGGCGGTAAGGTCCTGGGGTCGGCAATGATTCTGAGCGTGCTGTACGCCTCTGATGATTTGAACCGTTCACAGAAGGTCTTTGGTTGGTTAGTTATCTTGTTGGCACCAGCGGCTTCTGTCAGCTCATCTGGATTTGCTTCCACCACAAGTTGTGCTTCAGATCGGCTTGGAGAAACACTAGTTGGCTGGTGAACATGGCCGAGGCTGAGCATGCATGTTGCACCGAGGGTCACTAGGCTACCAAACAATGACATCAATGTCAGCCGACTCTGTTCGTCCACCAAGACCTCGAAGTTGGCAGCCGATGGAGGGCAGTCACCATAGTATCAAGGTGAAGGCGTGGGGGGAGAGACAATCACATGTTGCTTGACCCGTTGAGATGCAATTGCGGAGCAGTAAGGCACTGTTCCACCATGGTGATGTTGCTATCTGAGAAATGTCCACGCTGATCTGTGGCATTGGGCAATCCAGTGCCACCATCCTGATTGGCCGCAGTGAAGCTATGAGGTTTCCGGTGAAATGAGTTCCGACCACCTAAGTATGTCAACATTGTGTCCATGGGTTGTTTGGTGACGGTTTCATACGCCTTAGCACTCATGATAAGGTAGCGATACTGGCTGGGCCAGAACGTACCCGAGAGGAATCCAAAGAGAACAAAGGGAAAACACCGTGTACGTATTGAGCCTTAGGGCATCGGCGAGAATTAAATTGCCGGAGCCTATGGCAGAGAACTGTAGAAGCCTCTACTTTGCAAAGTACTGGATGGCTGTAGCACTGGCCAGTGAGCTGGTCAACATCCGACCAGCCGCCATAATGGATAAGCCTAATAGTCCATTTCCAATACAGTCCAATTCCATCTTCGAATTCAAACTGCTTTGGAGACTCTGCGAGGCAAGGAATGCTGTGAAGTTGAAGGAGAATCCGGCAATGAGTAAAGCGACCCTGGCAAAATGGTATCGGCGCTCTACTGAGTCATTTCCAGCCTCGCTTTCAGCACTCAACACATCTGCCTCGAAGGTGCTGCCGGACGCCGTCACTGATAGCTGAATAGGTGTCTCTGGCTAGAAGTGAGAGTTCGGATCTAGTTCGCAAAGATCATCACCATCGATCTCCTCTCCTACTAAAGACCGGCGTGGACTCTCCTTTTTATTAGTCATAATTATTCCGAGTACTAGTTGTCGTCCTAGAGCTAGACTAGAGGTAGCTGGACAACAAATAAACCTAGTGGAATGGGGGAGTCTGGAGATTACGTTATCGAACTCTCCTTACTGACTTCAGCTGAAGAGCTCTGGTGTGGAATACATGTACTGCCGTACGAACAAAATAGGAAGAGTATACACGGCGAAGCCCTAATTATTTCGACTTCATCCCCGTCCGAAGCCACTTCCTCCGGAAAATCCTCCTCAACAAGACAAGTGTTACTTTGCGGAAGAGCCATTCAAAATGAAGCATGTTTGGCACTGTGTTTGCATTGTCCTGAGCTGAGCGAGGGTCATCATGCATGGCCCATAATCATGATAATAGGCAGTGACGTTGCTACATGCATGGGTACGGGTGGCATGACCATGATGACGACATGCAAACACTGCACAAAGCTGAGCTGGCTTCCGGAACACAGAACAGGGAAAAGCTGCTTTTTGCAACATGTTTTTGTGTATGGGCGATGATCTTTACTTTTGTGCCCTGTGAGAAATGGTGTCGAAAGCTCTAGAATAGCTGCACACCATGGAGGCGTGTTCCTCCGCTTTGAAAACTGGTGATGCCAGCATAAGTCTGGCGGCGTTGCAAACGTACATCTTGGAAAACAAGGATAAATTCCAATTCGAGCAAACTGATTCTGTGGTAACTAATTTTGTTTCTGACGTTTTTCAGTATCTGGGTAGTGATATTGTCTGTCGTGATGGTCAGCGCTACGGACTGAATACTTTGCGTATTCTGACGAGGCAGAAAGCTGGATTTGGGGATGTTCTGACACAAGATGGTGCACTGCGTTTAGTGCGCTTTACTGGTGCAGGCAGTGACATTCCTGTTGATGACGCCACAGCTGTCGAATCTCTGAAGTGTTTATGCAATTTGACTTTCCAGCACCACTCATTCTCGGACAATATTGCTGCATGTGAAGGAGCTGTGGCCCACCTTCTTCAACAAATCTCCAGTAAGGATGCTGTGCATGATATTCGCTTCTACAGTACACGACTGGTCTTCCTCATGTCAGCCGTAAACCAATCGCTGCGAAGCCCGATACGGCAAGCCGATGGACTACACAGACTGTGTGGTGGATTGCTAGCTGCGTTGGGACTAACAGGAAATGAAGGTGATTGTGCTACGATTGGTGAGCTCTCACAGCAGTGCGGAGACCTTGCAGCAGAGGTTATGAAGTGTGTTTTCAACATCAGCATGGAAGTGTCCAAGGAGCCCACGGAAAAAGAGGTTAAGAGTGTGATGCTGCTGGTAAAGGTGGCACGCATTGTGCTGTCTTCTCCCCACCTAATGGGACCCAAGGATATTAACCCACTGCGTTCACAGGTAACCCACATGCTAATCAACATGCCTCCAAATTGCGACGATTTGTTCCTACCCAAAACCCATTCCCAGTTTGGAACGGATAACACCGTGATCCATAATTGTCGTAATGTAACAGCTGCCGAGCAGCTCTTACGTCAGCTTGACGAGGAAACTACCGGCCTGTGTTCGTCAAACATCTCATCATCAACGGCCAATGATCTTGTCCCGCTGGTCACGGCCATTGCCAACTGTGCACGTGCTTGTTCAGTTGCTCGGCGGTACTGGCGTCAGAAAGTATTGCCAACGCTAGGCAATGTTGTTAGTCGGCCCGACGAAGGTAACAGTCTGAAAGCACGCCTTGTCCGACTCATGACGTCACCGCACACCAATCTGGCCGCCACTGTTGCCGAGTTTCTGTTTGTACTCTGCAAGGAGAATGCTGGCCGGTTTGTCAAGTACACTGGATATGGCAATGCTGCTGGACTGTTGCTACAGCGTGGTATGCTTGGAGGTGGCAGAGGAGAGCAAACCGCTGACTATTCGTCCGACTCTGACGATTCCGACACGGAAGAGTATAGAGAGAGCAAGGTCAACGTCATGACAGGAGGGCCAGAACCTGAGGACCAGGTTGATCCATTGGCCGGAATGACAGAAGAGGAGAAGGAAGCTGAAGCCGAGAGGCTGGGCGAGCTGATGACTAAGCTAGAAAATACAGGCGTGATGAAGGTGATGAGGGTCGGTGGTACTCCGTCTTCGGCCGGTGCACCTGACGCTAGTCCAGCAACAGCAGGTGCAACAGACAGCACTGAAACTGCTTCTGAACCTGCTTGTGCATAAGTCCAGCCAGTGTTTCAGTACTTAAAAAAAATGACTAATTGTAGGAGTATAGCATACTATTGTGCATAGTTCGATCGAGTCAAAACTTCTGAAGTGATAACATGGACAGAAACAAAAGTTACAATTGTTTATTTCAAGTACATTATTAGGTTTTTATTCCAAAATAAACACAGCTAAAAAAAGACAAGCAGACTATTATGCTGGTGGGTATTTGTGTCACAAGTCCATCTCAAAAGCATGTCATGAAGAAATCAAGGCAACAGTCACAACGGGTGTTGTTTTTCTCAGTCCATTTCTTCCACTTCCGGGCCATTGCAAGACCCTCCTCCTGCTGAGCATCCATTGCCTCTATTGCCACCGTGCAGTTTGGCCATGATGGGTGAGCACAGCTGCTGCAAGTCGCTCAAGCGATGCTCAAGCTCCTCTTTCTCGGCAAGCTGGTTCTTGTCAAGCCAGTCAAGAGCGTCTTGTGTTGCACTCTTCACCTTTTCCACTTCATCAGTGTTCGGCTTTGAAGCATCATCTGTTACTGCCGAGCAGACATTGAACGCATAGCTCTCCAGTTGGTTCCGAGAGGCATTTCGATTCCTCTGATCTTCGTCGACTTGCTTGAACTGTTCAGCCTCAGCTACCATTCGTTCAATATCAGCCTTGCTCAACCGGCACTTCTCGTTTGTGATCCGAATGTCACTGGAGCGACCGCTGCTCTGATCTTTGGCTGTGGCGTGTAGAATACCGTTGGCATCAATGTCAAAGCTAACGTCGATCGTTGGTACTCCACGAGGTGCAGGTGGAATGCCACTCAGCTCAAAGCGATCTAGCAAGTGGTTGTCGCTGGTCATGGCTCGCTCACCCTCGTACACCTGCACAGTGACGCCTGGCTGATTGTCGGAATATGTAGTGAAAGTCTCGCCAGCACGAGTTGGGATTGTCGTGTTGCGTTTGATGAGTGTTGTTATCACGCCTCCGGCTGTCTGGATTCCTAGCAAAAGTGGTGCAACATCGAGGAGGACCACTGAATCCACACGCTCATCCTACACCCCAGACAGTATAGCCGCTTGAACAGCAGCACCATAGGCAACAGCTTCATCTGGCTTCACTCCCTTGTTCAGCTTGTTAAGTCAGCTCACTCAGTCGGTAGAGAAGAGTAGAGTATGAGAGTAAAGGTTCTAATACGCACTAATTCAGAGAGAGAGAGAGAGTTCTCAGGTAATACATGTAGTTCTAACAGTTGTGATAGGTCAGAAGGGAATAGTTCGGATCTAATCTTGATCTGCAGGAAACTAGAAATGCAGCAGCTTTTATAGGGTGAGAATCTGTTAGTGTAAGTATGCTAGCGACTATAGCCAGGGGATATGCAACGCAGAGAGAAGTAGGAAGAAAGGTCAAAACTTGGTACATGTGTGGGCAGAAGAATGGGAAAGGCGAACAGCTGTAGCATACACATTACAGGCAAAAGGAATGACATTTAGCTGTGTGCAAAAGAAGGAGCTGTGGGCACTGAGCGTGCAAGAATACCGGAAGACAACTGTTGATAAGGGCATTAGGTTGTACTTCGAAGTATGTACTTCTTAAGTACGAGTACAGAAGAACTAAAGGAATGTACATGTAACGGATTCTTAGACAACAGCTGCTATGTATGTGTTGATACTTGTAAATGATAGGCGGTTGAAAGTGTTATGCATCAAAAGGTCTACAGTGTACTAGTACATGTACTGTATTTCTAAGGTCAACCTAATGTATGAGGACATGAATACAGGCCGAAGGTGCGCCCCGTGTTACAAGTCATGTACATGTACATGAAAAATACAAGGCAGTAGTATATGAAGGAAGAAAGAAACATTACACATACTGTCATTAGTAGGAGTGAAAGGCGTGATCCGGGTACCCGGGTACCTGTCTGTTTAGCTGCTAATCCGATAGCAAACGAGTACCTGTTAGTCGTGTACGACGGTATCTTACGGTATTAATAGCATGGCGTATACATGCAGTTGTACAGTTCGATGTACAGTTTGAATGTGTTGTTGGTTGTTCCATCCTGCTACATATGACAATTTGATTGTTTTGCATGTAGCGCAGTAAGTGCGCATGCTGCGCTCGTTGCGATGTAGTGTACTTGCTGTGAATTTCATGACTTTGCATGTCCTGGCACGAAATGTGGAAGGCTATTCAGTGTTCACGGTATAGTAACTGTTACTATTGGCTGCTAAAGGGTACCCGATAACCCGCCCGGTAAGGCAGTGCATACCCTTTGTAACCTTAAAGGGTAACCGTTTCACCCCTAGTCAGTAGACTATATCGGTCAGCAGTTCCTCATCCGAATTATTAATGTGTAATTCTATCAGGTCTTGTTGAGTCATAGAGACAGCAGGTGACGGTCCAGGCGTAGGGTCGGTAGACTGGTCCTTGGGAGGTGGCGATTGCCGTTTAGCTGGCGGGGAACGTTCTTCGGGGGATGGCGAGCTTCGTTTGGCGGGGAGCTGCCAGAGCGGCGCGGCGGGCTCTTAACCCCGCCACTGTCAGCGGTGGTGTCGCAGGGGTTGGGAGTAGAGGTGGTCCAGTAGGGGGGTGGGGTGGGGGTGGGAGTGGTAGCACCACGTCGTGTTGTACCGCTGCTTCTGCGTAGGTGTGGCCATGGATGTCATTAACCTGGCGAAGCAGAGACACGGAAATAGGCAGGAGGCCGAATGAGTGTTCGGACGGTTGAAGAACTGGTGGTGGTGAGGTGGAAATTAGAGATGATGGTGTGAACTGAACTGGTGTGAGGTATGGACGAAGTCTGTTGCGGTGAACGGTCGCGACGCGTTGCATGTGAGGGGTTGTGTGGAAATGGGCTTTCAATATGTATGCAACGTCAGAAGGACAATCAATGATTTTCCAGGGGCCTGTCCAGTGTTTGAAGAGTTTCGGTGAGACATGAGGTGGTGGGTGAGCATGTAGCCAGACAAAATCTTGACTTTTTGAACTGGGAAGTGGTGGCTTTGCGATCATAGCGGTCCTTGGAGTACTCGTGGTGTTGACGAGCGGTGTCACAGGATGTCTGAAAGCGAGCTTGGAGATCAGTGATGAAGGTTGTGATTAGCTGCGGTGCGTGTGGTCGTGGAAGTGTAGTGGCAACGTAGCTTCACGGCCAAACATGAGAAAATATGGTGTGAAACCAGTCGTGGAGTGGACATTGGTGTTGTAAGCGAGCATCGTGGTACAGAGATGTTTATCCCAGTCGGATTGCGTGTCGTTCGTGTAAGCTTTGAGAATGTTCTGGACTGTGCGGTTGGATCGTTCGACGAGACCGTCACATTGAGGATGATACGGAGTGGTACGTGTTTTGTGGATGTGGAGCGTTTTGCAGAGGTCCTGGAAGAGGTCGGATTCGAACTGAGAGCCTTGGTCAAAGTGAATTTGGTCAGGTACACCATAGCGAGAGGCGACGTGTGTAGTGAGTGAATCGGCAACTGTGGTGGCCTGGATATTACGGAGCGGGGACAACTCTAACCAATTGGTGAAGTAATCGATAACGGCCACGATGTAAAGAATACTTAAGGTTACCACCATTTGAACGAGGTAGAGGACCCATGAAGTCCATAGCAATGATCTGATACGGGCATGTATCTGTGGTGCGTTGAAGAGGAGCACGTGCAACAGGATTCTTGTGCTTGTTCTGTTGGCATTCCAGGCATCGAGTACAATAGCGGTCAATGGCTGCTTTCATACCCAGTACCTGGCCAGAAATAATGCTCGGTGACACGTGCACGGGCATGTTTTGTACTGAAGTGCCTAGAAGTCGGCGAAGCGTGTGCATCGTAGATCAGCCTTGCCATTGAAGTAGTCCAGAAGCAGTTTCTGGATCTTGGGAATACGCGTTGATCCACCAACCAGCACGACTTCGTGGATCTCAGACTTTCCCATCTTGGCATCGTTCAGTGCTCTCTCTACTGGTTCCAGGGTTGAGCGGAACAAGTCAGAACACAGCTCCTCGAATCTTGCGCGCTTGATCTTGCTGTAGAAGTCAATGCCATGATACAGAGAATCAATTTCCACACTGGCATCGGTGCTGCTCGACAGAGTTTGCTTGGCTCTCTCGCATGCTGTCCTCAGCCGGCGCAGGGCACGTGCATCGCCAGACAAGTCTTGCTTGTGCTTGCGCTTGAACTCAGCAACAAAGTGCTCCACCGGTCTGTTGTAAAAGTCCTCACCACCCAAGTGTGTGTCACCGGCAGTTGACTTTACAGCAAATAAGCCATTGTCAATGGATAGGATGGAGACATAAAACGTGCCACCACCAAGGTCATACACCAGCACATTCTGCTCAGAAGACATACGCTTGTCCAATCCGTATGCCAATGCCGCAGCTGTCGGCTCATTGATGATGCGAAGGACATTCAGTCCTCCGGTGACAGCACTTTTTGCTCTCTCTCTCTTGGAATGGCCAATGCTTCATGTCCTTCTAAACTGGTGAACTGACGACCATTCAATCGTTTGGCATTGAATAATCGTGTTCTTGGGATTGCCCACCACTTGGCACTTGATCTTTCGCTGCATCGCCTATCAAACGTTCCGTATCCGAGAAGGCAACATAGCTGGGTGTGGTGAGATTTCCCTGGCTGTTAGCCAGGATTTCCACCTTGCCGTGCTCATAGACACCAGCACACGAGTAAGTGGTGCCCAGGTCGATTCCAATGGCAGTCTTGCTGTTGGCCTTCATTTTCTCAACGTTCCAGAGTAGCTCTCTCAGCACAGGATCGGAGACCACTGATAAACCTAGAAACTAAGTAACCATGGTAACTTCTTGCATCTTGCGCTCCATGGTCCAGTCTTGGCCTTCAAGAGTCGGACAATGACATGTGACTTTCACAAATCAGTTCCTGTCCGCTTCCTCTCTACCGCAACTAAGTAATAGTTACTTGAGTCCATTAGCAGCAAATGTCCAAGCACTCTCCTTCTCGTTAGACGAGTCTCGACAGGCTAACTAAGTAACTGAAGGGGCAAATGTGTGACGTCTGCTTTGAAAGCAAGTTTCCCAGTCACGCCAGTCTCTCCATGGCTCGTCTCAAGCATTTATCCGCATCTCCAACGGCACCGGCTGTCTGGTGGAAAGTATCAGAGTCGCAGAACAAAGCGAACGGCTTTTGGCTGTTTTTTTTATCGCCATCATATTATTGGGCATCATTGTCCGTTTGGTCTGCGATACAAAATAAAATTTCAACAACAACAACAACAACAACATTTCCAGAAGATGACCAAAAAGTTCTAAAGTTCTAAAAAGACTATTGTAGAAAGGACGCGTAGATCTACACCTTCTGAGTCTGTCCTAGAATACAAGATCCTTGCATCTACCATGATCTACCGGTACGCGCTACCACATCATGCACATGTGCTCGTGGCGTGCCTGAATCAGTGAATGGCTGAAAGTAAAGTCTTTGTACAGAGTAGATCAACGACTACAGACTACATCCCCGGTCAAGACTCAGCATTATGACAAGACTGTCAAGAGACTACTCTCTGTCATCATGGTCATGATTCATGGTCATCCGTGTCATGTCCCGGTATGGTGGCACTGGTAGACTACAACTTACAAGAAATAGCTAGAAATCTCGTCATATTCTAGAAATATTCGGATCCTGCTGTTTTCTTCTGCGAAATTTTCGAAGAAACAAAGTCCTTCTTCACGAGTCTGATACTTTCCAGACAGCCGTCGGAGCTGCAGATAAATACTTGGGACGAGCCATGGAAAGGCCAGAACGGTTCAACCGAATTGAGACTTGCTTTCAAAGCAGACGACACACATTTGCCCCTTCAGTTAGTTAGCCTGTCGAGACCCGTCTAACGAGAAGGAGAGTTTTATAGTGCTTGGACATTTGCTGCTAGTGGACTCATGGTGCGGTAGCGAACAGGAACTGATCAGTGAAAGTCACATTGTCTTGAAGACCAAGAGAGCGCAAGTATTACTTGCAAGTAGTTACTTTTAAAATAGTTTCTAGGTTTTGTCAGTGGACTCCTGTGCTGTGAGAGCTCAGTACTCTGTAATGTGGAGAAAATGAAGGCCAACAGCAAGACAGCGATTGGAATCGACCTGGGCACGACTTACTCGTGTGTTGGTGTCTATGAGCACGGCAAGGTGGAGATCCTGGCTAACAGCCAGGGCAATCGCACCACACCCAGCTATGTTGCCTTCTCGGATACGGAACGTTTGATAGGCGATGCAGCGAAAGATCAAGTGGCGCGCAATCCCAAGAACACGATATTCGATGCCAAACGATTGATTGGTCGTCAGTTTACCGATGCTGTCGTTCAGAAGGACATGAAGCATTGGCCATTCCAAGTGATCAACGTAAACGGTCAGCCGAAACTGCAAGTTGAATATCAGGGAGACAACAAAGTGCTGTCACCAGAGGAAGTGAGCTCTATGGTGCTGAGTAAGATGAAGGAGACTGCGGAGGCATATCTTGGAACTGGTGTGACTGATGCAGTGGTCACGGTGCCAGCGTATTTCAACGACTCGCAGCGCCAGGCAACGAAAGATGCTGGTCGCATTGCTGGACTGAATGTCCTTCGCATCATCAATGAGCCGACAGCTGCGGCATTGGCATACGGATTGGACAAGCGTATGTCTTCTGAGCAGAATGTGCTGGTGTATGACCTTGGTGGTGGCACGTTTGATGTCTCCATCCTATCCATTGACAATGGCTTATTTGCTGTAAAGTCAACTGCCGGTGACACACACTTGGGTGGTGAGGACTTTGACAACAGACTGGTGGAGCACTTTGTTGCTGAGTTCAAGCGCAAGCACAAGCAAGACTTGCCTGATGATGCACGCGCCCTGCGCCGACTGAGGACAGCATGCGAGAGAGCCAAGCGAACTCTGTCGAGCAGCACCGATGCCAGTGTGGAAATTGATTCTCTGTATCGTGGCATTGACTTCTACAGCAAGATCACTCGTGCAAGACTTGAGGAGCTGTGTTCTGACTTGTTCCGCTCGACCCTGGAACCAGTAGAGAGAGCTCTGAACGATGCCAAGATGGGAAAGTCTGAGATCCACGAAGTCGTGCTGGTTGGTGGATCAACACGTATTCCCAAGATCCAGAAACTGCTTCAGGACTATTTCAATGGCAAGGAGCTGAACAAGGGAATCAACCCAGATGAAGCTGTTGCTTATGGTGCTGCTGTTCAAGCGGCTATCCTGTCTGGGGTGAAGGATGAGCGCGTGGATTCAGTGGTCCTCCTCGATGTTGCACCGCTATCGCTAGGAATCGAGACAGCCGGAGGTGTGATGACAACACTTATCAAACGCAACACGACAATCCCAACTCGTGCTGGCGAGACTTTTACTACATATTCCGACAATCAGCCTGGCGTCACTGTGCAGGTGTACGAGGGTGAGCGAGCCATGACCAAGGACAACCACTTGCTAGGTCGCTTTGAGCTGAGCGGCATTCCACCTGCACCTCGTGGAGTACCAAAGATCGACGTTAGCTTTGACATTGATGCCAACGGTATTCTACACGTCACAGCCAAAGATCAGAGCAGCGGTCGCTCCAGTGACATTCGGATCACAAACGAGAAGGGCCGGTTGAGCAAGGCTGATATTGAACGAATGGTAGCCGAGGCTGAACAGTTCAAGCAAGCCGACGAAGATCAGAGGGATCGAATAGCCTCTCGGAACCAACTGGAGAGCTACGCGTTCAATGTTCGCTCGGCAGTAACAGACGGTGCTTCAAAGCTGAACACTGATGACGTGGAAAAGATGAAGAGTGCAACTCAAGACGCTCTTGACTGGCTTGACAAGAACCAGCTTGCCGAGAAAGAGGAGCTTGAGCATCGCTTGAGCGACTTGCAGCAGCTGTGCTCACCCATCATGGCCAAACTGCACGGTGGCAATAGTGGCAATGGATGCTCAGCAGGAGGGTCTTGCAATGGCCCGGAAGTGGAAGAAGTAGACTGAACAGTGAACACCTAACATGAGCTTGGCTTTGCATTGTGCCAAGATTTATGTCCTTTCTGCTTTCACAATCTCTGCCTGATCACATTTTATGGTTATAATATTTATTATGTCTACAGCCACCTCTGTAATTGAGACCTATCATGTGGATTCCTAGCTATGAAATTCCGACTGAGAACATTTCGCACACGTGCAGCATGATAATTATTAGGAACAATGTTTTTTCCCGAAGAGGACTCGAAGTTTGATGTCGCCATTTTTTCCATTATTTCAAGCTATAGATCAAGATTGTCGAGCAAATACTTACCCTATTCTTTACCGTTCTGACGGTCTTGTTTTAACCCATGAGAGCTTTTGATCGCCCATATAAGTAAAATAATACCGTATTTATTTTACAATACGGAAAGTTGTGCCTTGTGGTGTCTGCCAGGAAAGTGCTCCGTGCACAGATTCAACTGAACCTCTCTCGCATAATCATGATTATTGATGTTGAGCTCAATTGGTGTTCTGCATGTAAATGGGGAGGGGGATGAGGCGGTTCTCTAACTGCAATTATAGATATTATACACGCCAGAGTCAGTCATAATTATACTGATTATTGATGCATGTTGAACTCAATTTGTATACTGCATGTGTGTGTGCGCGTGAGAGGTGTGTATCTCTGTTGTGTAACTAACTGCATGTGGAGAAAGCGCACGGCGTGGACAGTGGAACAAACACAGCCGACACCATATGCACTGTATACGAGTATTCACCAAGAGGATTCACTGGATAGTGCATTTCAAAACACAAACACATGAGCCTAAACGAGAGATCCGTACGGTCACCAAGCGTACTCTCAAACCACGATATGAATGCACAACGTTGAAGCCACAAACCCTTCCCAAACGCTCAATATATGTATGAGTAAACCGTGAAGTGAAGAGAACACTGATGGTGCTGAGACGATGTGCAAAGACTAGGGATAGAGGGCCTTGCAAAAAACCTGCACGGCTTTGATTGTGACATGCAGCTAGTACAGCCCGGCGCTAGCCCGTTGTCTGGCAGTGGCAAGGCTACACACCAATGATCATGTACATGATGTATGTACTGTCCTTTGCAGGATAGAGCCAATCAATAAGACTCGCAAAGAAGATGTCGCTACGCATTTATGCATACTTCAGAAGTATCACATACTCGTTAACTCTAATTTAGACACAAAGCTGCCTAGATTCAAACAAAGAGCTTCTACCACTGGAACCAAAGTACACATCCACAGAATTTCCATGAACAGTTAGATAAAATAGGCAAATGACACAGTAGGTATTCTACTGCATTTTTCTAGTGGTAAAAAATAAATGGGAGGCACCTAATTCGAGAACATAAACTTAAAAAACCCAACATCTCTACCGGTTCAAAATTCAAACACATACGATAATCGGGTCAATGCTGGCTCGAAAACCAAACTTGATAAATAAAGTGGAGCATAGCAAGGAAGTCAAGCACGCTTGCTGCCAAATGGCGCTGATTGAAAAAATCGACCTGCAGATGGCTGGCCGTCACCACCACTGCCACCGCCATTGACTTGAACTGGATGTAGAGATTCGGACCAGGTCACATTGTGCTGCGGAGTTTTCCTTGAATGGCCAGGGTTGCCACGCCGCCTTTCATCTTCGCACGTCAGGCAGATTGCAGAGTCGCCGTAGCGCACCTCGTAGTCTATCGTCGAGCACAGCGAGCAGAACACGCCAGTGCAAAGGTGGCACAGCTTGGTGTGGCCCTGGCAGGCTTTGCGCTCACAGAACTCACACTGCACGATCACATCATTGACGCGGCACACAAAGCACTCGCCGCGCTGCAGGAGACAAAAATCGAACGAACGCAAGTGCGGAAGTATGACTCATGGATGTAGCGAGATAACGACATGCCCCGCGTCGCTTCAACATATCATTAATGCCATGTACGGCAATTTCCGGAGTGATAGCCGCACTTTTAAAACACATGAAACTCAAAATCATCCTTGCGACGTGGACTCTGATACATTGAAACAATACGGCAGAGACCTTGACAACTGATGGTCGGGTGTGATTAAAGATTGGAGAAATAATACTGTATACAAAAGAGGGAAAACAACTTACATCTAATGGGCAGGCAGGTTGAGGCAAGGGCATGAGGTTTTGCTGGGCGGACATCAAACGTGCTTGTGTTGTTTCAGTAGCTACAGCACAAATACAAGGCAATGGGAAACTGGAATTTCATGTGTAGGCATGAATGACCAATACGAGATCTCGCCTTTTCCTTGCGGCGTGCCAGAAACAGCCCTCTCTAGAAGTGCCACCAGTGTGGAATGGGGCCCACACACATATTAGTCTACAAGAGCAATCACAGTCGAGTGTGGGGAGAATGTTCAGGCCAGGACATATAATTATGGAGATGACGAGACGTTGCTTTCGGGTGCATCTTCACCTGAACTCTGCATCACTGACATCTCCATGCTGTCCATGCTGTCCATGCTGCATCGGGCTTACATACAGTACTGTATGTTGTTATTGATGTTGCTACATTTATGTTGTTATTTTCGTTGTTTTTCGAATTCTTCACTCTCAGGTTGTTGTTGTTGTTGTTGTTGTTGTTGTGTCGTTATAGGCGTAGGCAATGCTGTCCTCATCGATAGGTGAAGCGTCCGAACCCCGACAAAATCCAGACACGCCGTGTCACTCCCCAACTGGTTTTACAGGAGGCCAAGCGAAATCCGATAGACTGCACTAAAGTTGTCTTCCACTAAGTTCATTATGTGGAAGAAGGAGTATGGATTAGTTGACGTCTGTCGTATGCAGTCCCAAGCTAACACTCGATTCGAAGCGAAAGTCTTTCATCAGATGGTCAAATGAATTTCAGCTCACGAACGAGAACTGAAAACCCAAAAGCTCAACTGAAACTGTTTCCTTGACACAGGACCTGGGGAAAGCCACCATCGCTTGGCACTGCGGCGCAAGTACAACACAAGCAAAGCCAGCTGCAAAGGTTGTGCACTACAATATCGGTAATTCCCACATTCAGGGCTAGCGGCATGTGCCGTAACCAGTGTGACAAGAGATCAACAGCGCAGTACGTTAACAACACCATGCATAAAGGACAAGCACGGCATCAACGACCAGTACAGGAACCTGTGTTGTGTTGATCTTCGCCACACCATGGGAACCGGAGGCTCATGCAGACAGCACGACTACTTATCTAATGCCTTCAATTTATTTAAAATGTTTTTAGTAATTTACTGTTTGCTGCTTGCAGACGTTTCTCTGTTAGAATAAGGCTACTTTTGTAAATCCAAAAGATCAGGTGCATATTCTTTGGGAAGTAGGACTGGTCTTTCTGGGACGGTCTAAAATATCAACGGAGAGTTGCACATTTTCGAAATCTTGAGACGATACACTCTGGCAAAGACTTTAAGAGGCAGATGGCAGTAATGAGTAGTCAAGTGTGTATTTCATGATGCAAACCATGTTCAAGGAATTGTAAGACTTTACCTGATTGGGCTTCAGCCGAAGGCAAAACCGCCAATGACCGCTCGCCGAAAGGATTTCTCCTCTTTGTAGCCATTAGCAACTGCGGACCTCCATTAGTAGCCATCATGTTGAGGGAGAATTGCAGTGATTCTTGCACAATGAAATAGCTAGATACAATTTTTGGGGAGCAGGCCGGGTAGTGATACTGAAGATTTCAAATATTTCCTTTTTGGTTCGGACAAGGCGCACGTTCCCTAGAAATTTTTAAAATTTGGAGTGAACTTTCTTGCACAGTAATGACTTTATGTATACACATCAGTCATCAGCAAGCCCGTGAAAGCAACACTACTACCGGTAGTAGGTCCACATGTGTCTTGCTTCCAAAATACTCTCAATAAGTGAAGACAGGAAAGAAACGAAATCTGAAAGCCTGTGCATCAACACACTTTTTGTACAAGCTGATTTTCCCGCGGGATCGAATAGTGGACACGTGCGAACTGTCCTAAAAAAAGTGAAAATGATCACGCACGAACCGCAGTGCAGAGAGGTCCGCATAAGTACAGGTTCCTGCACGAGTACGAGGGCAGTACCGCGGAATCCAGCCCGCGCCGCGATAGCGGCAAAGGCTGGCCGGATGAACAGCTAGCGGTACTGGCCGAGTATGAGTGACTGGAACGTGTTTCCCGTGTGCACCCAAGCCAAATAAAGAGATACATGACAGACACCAATGGACACACGTACACCTGCATTGTGTTTTGTGATTGTTTTCTGGTACAGTTTTTGGCATAGTGCTTTTTTTCTCGCGGTGCCATTGTCGACTGGCATCGGGCATTCTGGCTGTTCTGTTCCTACGGATTTTTCCCACGTCTTGATCGGAAACCTCGGCAAATTGCGCGGATCCTGCAGGTTGCTGAGCATTGCGCGCTTTGGTTGAGGCTCATCCGGCTCGTCCAAGATCTCCCGGCTTCGCGAGCGACTCCGCAATAAAAGTTTCAGTCTCTTCCTCAACTTTTCGGAGGAGCTCATTCAGATCGCCAATATCGTTCAACAAAGGGGCTTCTTTTCTCCCAGTTCCAGATCAAATGTTGGAGCGCCATGATGACAGTTGTGGTTGCAAACAGTCGCTCTTCTGCTTTAGTTATTTTATTAGTAACCAATGAAAGACCTTGAAGTACAAGTAGAGAGTCAGTCCAGTGGCTACTGCCCGACGGGCAGTGGAATCCGTTCCTGCCCGTCGTCAAGTGACGACGGGCAGTGGAATCCGTTCCTGCCCGTCGTCACTTGACGACGGGCAGTGGATCCAGTTCCATCACCCTTTGAGCAGGCAAGACCGCGCTTTCCAGCCCGCGCTGTTTCATCTGTCTTGGTCAACTCCAAGGCGACAATCACGTGACATACGGGAATATTATATTATTATAACTCGAACGGATAACTCGAATACGAGTATGGCAATGGATTATGTCAGTGACAGTGGTGCATGCAGTGCAGGGCGGACGATCAAGAGTACATAACCCCAGAGAGGGGGGGGGGGGTACTCTTGACCCGATCAATACTGACAATACTCAATAGACTTGTTCTCTACTCAAGACTATGAGCAAGACTCGAAGAGTATACTAGTATACTCTTCAACTTCAAGTCTTGCTCATACTAGTAGATCTCTCTCTCTCTCTCTCTCTCTCTCTCTCTCTCTCTCTCTCTCTCTCTCTCTCTCTCTCTCTCTCTCTCTCTCTCTCTCTCTCCTCTCTCTCTCTCTCCTCTCTCTCTCTCTCTCTCTCTCTCTCTCTCTCTCTCTCTCTCTCTCTCTCTCTCTCTCTCTCTCTCTCTCTCTCTCTCTCTCTCTCTCTCTCTCTCTCTCTCTCTCTCTCTCTCTCTCTCTCTCTCTCTCTCTCTCTCTCTCTCTCTCTCTCTCTCTCTCTCTCTCTCTCTCTCTCTCTCTCTCTCTCTCTCTCTCTCTCTCTCTCTCTCTCTCTCTCTCTCTCTCTCTCTCTCTCTCTCTCTCTCTCTCTCTCTCTCTCTCTCTCTCTCTCTCTCTCTCTCTCTCTCTCTCTCTCTCTCTCTCTCTCTCTCTCTCTCTCTCTTCTCTCTCTCTCTCTCTCTCTCTCTCTCTCTCTCTCTCTCTCTCTCTCTCTCTCTCTCTCTCTCTCTCTCTCTCTCTCTCTCTCTCTCTCTCTCTCTCTCTCTCTCTCTCTCTCTTCTCTCTCTCTCTCTCTCTTCTCTCTCTCTCTCTCTCTCTCTCTCTCTCTCTCTCTCTCTCTCTCTCTCTCTCTCCCGGAGTCTCTCATTAATTATTTCTGTTTCCTTACATCACCCATGGTCGGGGGAGGTAGGCCCAATTCCCCAGCACGCTGCTCCGGCTTCCCGCTGTATTGTCATGTCTCCTCTTGACTTTGTTTCTGTCTTCCATTCCGTTCTCTGCTGGACTGTGTAATACAGTGTGTATTTCAGTATAAAAAATAGAAAATAAAAAAGATCTACATGTACTGTACTGGTCATCATGGTCATACATAGATTCAAAGACCATGAGCATGATTGGCATGAACAGAAGTTGAAGATCAGTCCGCCCTCCACACTGCCAGGGACAGGGCTAGGGTGGTTGTTGCATCGTTAGGCGTTACGTCCATGGTCAGCTTCTTTCAACCGATCAAACGAAGACATTTTGCTCGTGAAGGTTAGGCCACTGTGGAGTGCCAGCCACTGCCAGTAGTAGTACAATCATGTTCCACAAAAAGTCTAGCAAGGAAAGAGCTTGACTTGGCCGAACACGTCCAAAGCCGATACCTACTCAGTATGCCATGGCGTGCACGCCGGGGGTGTGCCAGATCTGCACCTACACTACAATGCTACAGTACATGTATACAGGCGAGGCCTAGGCGTAGAGCTGCTAATGCCAGTGATGGGTGCCGCTGTCGTGTGACCGGGTTCATCGGTCAGCCACCGGCGGTTTTCAACTGTTACATGACTTTGCACTTCTTTTCTGTGTGTTTGTGAGAAACGCGAGTGACCTACATGACTACCGGTGCACCCAGAAGCAGTCACTGATGAGTGATGTGTGTATCAGTTGCTGTTGCTGTTTCCCTGTTTCGTGGATGTGGTTATGGTGCTGACGCCAGTGACAGTGACCTAGACCTTATACTGTAATAGTAATAGTCCTTGGTGGACAATGACTCAAAGGAAAAAAACTCACTTCCCGGTAGATTCTGCATAAATTTTGTGATTGCGTAGGTCACTCACTCACTATGTCCTTGAGAAGTTGAGTGGCAAATGGGTCAGGTACACCCGTTACGCGTTAACCGTGGCCGAAAGTCATGCACAAGGCAGTTGGATGGGATTCCTCCGTTTCTTACCGCTCAGCCTCAAGCAAGAGATTCTGCTTCGCTCAGCTGGCCAAATCACATCGACAGACAGTCAGTGCTAGTACTTAGTAGTGAGACTCCGGCAGTCAGTGCATGCAGTTGCTGTTGCCAGTGTTGGCAGTGTTGCTGTTTCCCTGGTCTCCAGATACATGTACACTGTTAGTCTTAGAGAAGGAAGCTTTGTTACAACTCTGAGTTTCACGTATTACTACGATCATCGATGCAATTATGTACACTGTTATCATGGTTATCATGGACTTGGTTATGCCATGGTGCTGACACTACTCACTAGTCACCTAGTCACCTAGTAGACCTACCTAGCCCTTGCAAGCTTGGCGGATACTGCTCGAAAAATATTTGGCAGATTCTGCTGGAAAAGCAGTGAAATTGGCAGAACCCCCCCCCCCCGACCTTTTCTTTTTAGTTATGGCAGGCACTTCCGAATCCCTGCTCTAGCTCTTCATCCACATACCAAACAAGTATTAGTTAGCTACATGCATGAAACATACCAGAACAAGTACCAAAATTGCCGGCATTATCCAACAAGGGCTACTCAGCCCGACACTCGACTCGGAGTTACACTCTGCCCCACCGTTGTCATGCACTCGCCACAATCCCCACATCAGGCAACACGAGTAGATCTATGTTACGCCTGATCATGTCAGCTGAGTGATGCGGCGCAGCTGAACGAGATGTCAAAATAAAATTTCGAGGCTAGACCTTGTCCTTGTCCTTGATCTGCTGGAAAGGTCAGGCTATCCGGCCACAACAACTCCTGTAGTAGCAGCCCTACTTGTAGCTGGCCTAGGTCCGCCTTGTACGTGTACTAGAGCCAGTAGAGGGCCCAACCGCTACCTGCCTGCTCGTAGTGACACGATAGACGACTCATCGTGATTGTGACAGTGCGATGCATAGTCGTTGATTTTTGAATGGCCTGAAATATTACTTCCTCTCGAGATCGCCACTTCAGACTCCAGGCAGTGGTAGCAGCAGTAGCAGCATGGAGGATTGGGTCTTGTCGTGTCGTGTGTCGCAAACAAAATTACGGCAGGATAAACCTGTGACGATCGGACGAGAAGGATGCGACATTCCCATCAAGGTAACAATAGTTTAGTGGCGTTGCTTCCTTCATGGAGGTCAGCTGGAAGTAAAGTGGAACATTTCAAGATAACCGTTAGCAGCTGCTGTACGCTTTGCAAAGTACCCGCTATCAGTATCACACGCGCTGTGTCCGTCGGGATTAATGATTACTCCCGCCATGACTCGTGTGTGACTAGTCGACTGGAGAACTACTTCCTGAGGGGTCGTGTGAATCATCAGTTAGGATGTGTCGGTCCTGTTTTGTATTCCACTTGTGCAATCAAACGTAATAATTATTATTTTTGAAATAATTGTTGCAAAATCCGAACGTATAGTTGTCTTATTTGTAGAGGCCCCAGTTCTACATTCCGAATTTCGGAATATTTTTTTTAACTACTGGGGTCAAGAGGTTGTGAAGCAATCGAAGTATCTTTTGCCAGTTTTGGGAAAGTCAAGACGAAGTTGAGTCAAACGTTGTTTTTACTTACGGTTTCTGGCTTGAATTTTTTTACCACTTACCTTCTTATGTCGTTTTGGCTGCCAGGCTGTAGTAACCACGTAGTTATCATAAATAGAGCAGTCAAAAAATGCTTTGTTATTGCAAAACAGCTCACAAACCAAGATAACGCCGGAACAATTTTTTGACATGAGGTACATGTCAGCGCGCCATGTCTGCATGCTATTCACTGCCCGACACCATCGCCAATTTGCTCACGATGACGGTGTGCTGCGAGGAAAGCTACTTGTGCAGTGCTAGTGGGCAATGGACTCCGTGCATGAAGGTGATTGCAATTGCAATGTACATGTGCAGCAGCCAGTATGAGAGTAGGGGTGCATTCCCATTCTCGACCACTTCCTGGAGAAATATAATTATCATGGAAGTCGAAGAAACTGGAACAATAACATGCCCACCGGAACTGGTCCGGTTGGTCAGGTTAACACCGGACCAACTTTGTAGCTACCAACGCATGTTTACTGGTGAGGAGGGCATACGTTCCCGCCATACATGTATTATACACAAACTTTGGTATGAAAGACTCTCACGGTCTGGTACGACCGGACCAATTGAAAACTGCTTCTGGCGGCCCTGAATAATAGCACGGATCTGAAAGACGTCTCGGGTGCAATCCCTAATTGAGCTGCATGCGCCCTTATGAGTTCCTGTAAAAGCCATATATATATATATTATATAACGAAGTGCTAACTCTAACGAATCAACGAGGAGAAATCTGTCGTTAAAATAGAAAACGTTCGACAGAAATCAATACATATTGTTGCTATTGAGCGCTGAGAATGAGTGAGAATCGTTGCCTTTGATACACGTAAACTGGTCAATTTTAGGGAATCGTTATATATGCGCCTCGTTAGAATAATGGCTTTTACAGTACTAGTAGTTGTGAACCAAGGCAGAACATATTCCACTTGCTCCGGCCTTAATGCCAGAACAGGTGCCGAGAAGTTTATCTTTTTCACAGTGAACCTTGGCAGGAACATCGATTGTGTCCGAAATGATCACATACACTGTCTTGTGTGTTGTGGTCCCACACTCTCTTACAGTAGTGCCCACATGGACTGAGTATCTCGTGTAGTACATTTACTTTGATGAGTTTAGCACACCTTTCCAGAAGCTTTACTCTGGCTCTTGAGTAGCATTTGGTTGAGGCACGTCTGCTCCATTTTCACGAGCTGTTCGACCCTGTGCCAGATTCTACCTGCCAATTCCACTCTCAGCGCAGTATACTGGGACTCCAGTTCGCTTCTCCTTCGCACACTGATAATGAATACAACCCGGCATTGTGATTGATGCCGAGAGCATGACAACATCTGGTTCTGTTGTGATTTTGCTCACGGTTCTCCTTTACTCTGTGCGCTCTGCTCAATGGTGTGCGCATGTCAGACTGGAGTGGAGCCAAAGCATGCTGCAGTGTATTACAACCTGGCTGACAAGACATTCTACTTGAAGGATCTTGCAGGCACAACTGGTGATGGAGTAAGTAAAACCACTCATCGTAATTCTGTATTCCCATCTCAGTCCCACAAACTTATGAACATTATTTGTATGGTGATATAATTATATTTAAAAAACCTATCATGTTCATGTCATATCGTATCATGTATGTTATCATGACTTTCTCAAATGTTGAACGTTGAAACAAGTCTCAGTGCCTCCAGCATGGGTGTTAAGTTTTAGATTTAACCCTTGCTCGTCCTGCATGTGAACATGTTGGCTGGCTGTTTAATGATACCTTGTGTTGACACTGGTTGGCCTGCTGGAAGCACAGCTGTACATAAGAGAATGCTGCTAACAGCTTTCTTTATCAGACCGTTTCTGTACACAGCCGTTGTCCAGCAATGGCACCCTATGCCCTAACCTGTCATAATAGTACGAATACAGGACGCTAGTCGCAGCACTAGCCATCATGCACCATAGTCAGCGACTAGCAGTTGGTTATGGCCTCGCATATCCACATACATATTTCAGATCATGGACCACATGCCTGATTGTCTTCTTAGTGGCAATTTTTGGTGTCGAGCAGAAAAGGAACTGGTAATGCATGAATTTCTGGCAACATATCCAGTGTGTATTTGTTGCTGACACGATAAGGAATCTGAAAGGACAAACTTTCACCTTTTGTTGCCCAACTGTATATGCACTCTTTTATGAGGTTCCTTTCAGGAGCAATTACAGACATTTAACAGAGAATTGGATGATATCCTTTTCTTGCATCATATTGGAATGACACTGTTTTGTTACTTTCTAGTCCCGGCCATACATTTGTCCTATCACTTTAAATAATAATATGGTGTATGCGCCATGTTGGTGTTGGTTTTTGCAGGTATTTGTGAATGGCATCAAAGTGGAAGATTCTGCAGCTCTAAGCCTCAATGACAGGCTGCGCTTTGGCTACAGTATCCTAAAGCAGTGCTTGTGAGATGTGCGGCGTGATGATCATGTTGTATGATGGTGATGACAATGATTTATGTATCTTACACAGTACTATTGTGTGTATATAGCACTCTGCATGGTGGCTTTGTACTATACAGTACAGCCGTCACTGATCGCTTTTTACAACTCTGTTAGTTTTGACTATTCTTGTGTACATGTGCACTACACAGACAGACTGTCTGAGTATACACTTGTAGCATCTCACCCTGAAAAAGTACCAAAAGCACTGCATGGTGGATGTTCTACAGAACAGAACAACAAGGACAATCAAGGCTTGTTTGCTGCGACTTGAAGTTTCATGCACTCGCAATCATCCGGCAACACAAAGTCGTGTACAGTAAAACCTGGTGTAAGCGACCTCTCGTTTTAGCGACCACCTGCTCTTAAGGACCGTTTTTCCATGCACGAACAGTTCTACACAGACACCGTGGGACCTGGTTCTAAAGACCACCTGGCTTTAACGATCGCTTTTGCTTGCACCGTGGGGTGGTCGCTTAAACCAGGTTTTACTGTACTTTGAACTATCTGTCACTGGACTTGTGTATGCCTTGCACCCTGGTGCGTGCTACGCCCGTCGCCCATGGTGTAGAGCTGCTCTGGTATCCAGTCACTGCCAGTCGATTATGCTCTGGATAGCACATCCGAGTGTCTCAGTATTAGTGACTCTGTCTTTGAATTCAAAGTTGAAATTGCTCTTTATGAGAGTGCATGTACATGGCTGTACTGTAGTAATGCGAACATGTGTGTGTCAAAGAAGCACACCGAAGCAAGCATACACACATGGCGCATGTACAGGCACTGCTCTTGTTTGACGTTGCTTCAATTTATCACTCTATGCTGAAAAGTAGTCAATGTAACTGTTAGTTGTGATGAGCAGATCATTGTTTATCTCTCCTTGACAAGCTATTGGATAACTAGGCCACACAACATACACCATCGAGTTGGCACCATCTGCTTTCAACACCGTCCAACTGCAGCTGGAGAACTTACGAGCGCCTGATCTAAACCAGTCACACGGTCACATCAATGCATCAAGCCCCGTTCCGGCAGCGTCTTCCCCGCTCAGTTCTGCTCAAAGTACTCACACTTCTCTAACCGAGACTGTGAAGAGATCGCTGTCCTCCACACCAGTACCGCCGTACGCCGCATCGGTTCTCTCGCAGGCCAGCAGTACACCAGTGCAGCTCACTTCCGCCGTACAGAGATACACTGCAGCTGAGGCGAATTCCCCACAGCCAATGACTGACACATCGGTGTTGCTGACTGACAGGAATGAACTCAGCTCAATCCCAGTGACCAGCAGTAAAGAAAGCCATCAAAACGGTGCCTCTGCAAGTAAGTCGTCCATTGAAAAATGTCAAGGGTTCCCTCGTGTATATTCTCAATTAAACGATGGTTCACAACTGAATGCACTTTGCAACGTATGTCTTAGCCATACCTTGAATTCGGATATTAAATGTATCAGGCAGGTTTGCACATTACGACAGTGGACGCGGATAGTTTATAATTGCTCTGAATTTGATGGAATCGGAGCCATTCCTGTGTAAGAGGTATGAGTGTCTCTGCTCTGGCACCCTGTCCATGCTAACATGCCACACCGTGGACCTGCACGGCATGGGGTCGTACAGTTCATGTAGAAATTCCTGGAGCAGCAGTGCAAAACATTTTAACGTTACGGCATCGTTCGAAACTGAGTAGTCGCTTGCTCTCTGCTTGTTAACATCAACAGTTGTTTCTGTGGGCTGTTGCTTGATTTATTTCGTAGATAGTTGCAGTGCATTGTATGGCGTGCCAGATTGGTGGGGACAGGGAGAGAGCAACGTGGCAGAAATCCACAGCGTTCAACGAAAGCCGGTACATGTCGCCAGCGGTGGTGACACCTCTTCCAGCAGCCAGTCCCGTCATCGGTCTGTTCGTGGCCGGTCCAACACGATATCTGCGGACAAGGCCGAGACAAGCAAGCACTCCTCTACTCTGAAACTTCCTGCACGTGCTGGCAGTTGTCGCCGCTCAGCAACCCCTGATGCACCGGCAAAGAGAGCTAGCGGCAATGATCTTTCTTCAGCATCAATGAGGCGCACAAGCAGCCTCAGGTTGTCCAAGGAGGACAGGCCGAATCCGCAAAACCTGAAACACAAACGTGCAGAATCTACCGATGTAGAGGCGTCTAAGACTGTCAAGGTGCCATCCACTGAAAAGTCTGCAGCCAAGCGGCAAGCCAGTCCCGCACCACTCCGTGAGAACGCCACAGTAGCATTGCGGCGGGCAGCCAGCGCCAAGAAAGCGGCCGCCAGGGATGCTGAAGTTGCTGCGGCGGCTGCAGCACAAGAGCGGCGTACATCTGGAACACGAGCATCGCGCAAGTCACGGGCCACGTCGGTCCGGGCAACCTCGGATGCCAGCAGCACAGCCAGCCAGTCCTACTCACCCAAACCAGCACGCTTACCATCACCCATGGAGGACACACACAAAGCTGGTAATGGCAGCAAAGGAGTGGACTCTGCAAACAAACAGAAGGTGCCAAGCCGCTCTGCTTCGATCAAGGTCAGTTTTTTTGGCAATTGATTTTCACAACAATATTCAGGTATAGGTCAAGATGCAGAACAATGAGAAACGTGTTTCATTTCACGCAAAGGCATTGGATGGACTTGGTACGGACTGGATGCTCGAGGCATTCGGCATGACTCAGTATGTGTTTCCGAGGTGCCTGGCATTGCGATGGTTCTCCATAGTTTCTATGTTGGTGTGGAACATCAAAGGAACATCACATGCTGTGTGTGCATTAGCTCACAAAGTATGTCCACTTCATAATGCAAACCCATTGAGTGTCCGAAGTCTTTCCATGCTACTACTGTTACTCTTTGATGAACCTTGGCTGGTTTAACTCTTGGATTCTTTGAATATTTGGAATTCTTGGAATTTTTAGAAGGCTTGGAATTCTTGGAATTTTTGGGATTCTTAGAATTTTTGGAATACTTAGAATTCTTAGAATTTTTGGAATTCTTAGAATTTTTGGAATTCTTAGAATTTTTGGAATTTTTTTAGATGGTGGCTATGTTATGTGCTCTCTGCTGATTTCTTGACCTCATTTTTTCTTTCCTTGCTTGACAGCTGCCATCCTCAAACTCTTCGTTGCCTGCCAGTTCATCACCCAGCACCAGGGTGAAGTCACAGGCAGAAAAGCGCTCTCCGCGTCACCCTCTGCGTGCCGTACCTCTACAGTCGTCTTCTTCATCTTCACTGTCCTCCTCCTCGCCATCACCAGCAACAAAGCGACACAGTGCAGAGCTGGCCCCAGCACCCGCAGCTGCAGCGGTTAAGCCACGTGCACGGTCTCCATGGAGATCGATAAGAGGTGCGAGACGTGCACTATCGTGTGTGAACATATCTGCGGCTTTCCTTCATGCATGGCTGATGCTGTTCGTTCTTTGCATAACTTCTAGCATTCTGGCTGCAGGTATTTACCGACTGTGAATCAATGCACTCATCCTTACTGTGCTGTGCCTCTGCACTATGTGACTATAATAATTATTATGTTCTGTTCACACCTGCAATGATCACCTTTCTATCTGTGTTTGTGAGTTCAGATCAAGCACGTAAGAACATCAACACTCAGGCAAGCGCCACAGCTGACTCGGCGGATATCATATTCATGACCTCGCCGGCAGCAGCAGAGCATGGTCCAGCATCAACATCACACGGCGAACAAATCGAGGATAAAGGTGCTGCTGCTGCTGTGACCACTCAGTCAGAGTAAGTGCTAATCAACTCCCCAGAACTTGGTCATGTTCGTAGACTGGACCCAATAAATACGTGCACTCTACTGGCCTGGCCTGAGATGGAGGGCAAGGGGAGGTGTGTGTGTGTGGAGGGGGGGGGGGGGGGGGGGGGGGGGGGATTTCGTCGATAATGTTCATTTCCGGCTCTGTATCCCATTTTGTCCGGACCACCTGAAATCATGGTGCTACGACATTGATTGCACCATACTTATATGTAGTGTAGAAGTGACTACAAAGTGCATGCACCAGGATGAATTGGAGCAGCTAGCTTTCTCTGAAGCACGTGCAAATAGCAAACCAGCATTTGCACATTCTTCGCTTCTTTTCCAGATCATTGCAGAGTGATGTGCCAGACAATGATACAGCCATGCAAGGCAACGGCAGTGATGTTTGGCAAACCGGCTCAGATCAAGACTCGTTGGCCAGCAATGCAGCCGTCGGTAGCGGTTCAGCCGGTGACCTGCAGCTATCCGTGTCTGAACTCAGCCTATCGGCAGTCAGCTCCAATACATCCGTGGAGTCCGCAAGCCTGGATCCTTCCCCTACCAGTGAAGCAATTGAGGAGCCTGCTGCATCCATTCAGGTAGCTCCAGCAGCAGCAGCAGCAGCATCTCAGCTACCGCCTCCAAACAGAAAGCTGGCCTTTTTGACCGAGGTGGATGATGATGTTGATGGCGGGGTTTGTACAGTCTGCAGTGGCATGCCGCAGTCTACCTGCACATGTAGTGGGGGTGCTGCTAGCCGAGATCAAGCACTGCTGCCAGTACAGCAACATGCCAGAAGTTCACCGCATCAGCCTGCAGGTGCTGTTGACGGACCGGCACCATGTCTGGCAGAGAACGAACTTCTAGGAGTGGATACGGTGTCCGATTTGGCTAGTGAAGACTCGTCAGCATTGGTCAGCTTGGCACCGTCACGTCGACAGTGGAACAAGATGGAGGTATGTTCTGAACAGGACGTGACGTGGCTAATTCAGCTGCGACACTAGTATTGGCAGGAATTGAGGTAGGGATACCGTGCAGAGTTTAGCACACTCACCCGACCATGCCACCATTCTAGACTGCTGTAGAAAGATCAGAAAGGCAGTTTTTGATTGGTCCAACCCTAGCCTTCCATACAGTTTGTGTATGATATGGAGGGTATAACACATGACCTCCCGGTGAACAGTAAACACATGTTGGTGGCCGAAAAGTTGGTCCGGTCATATCCTGACCAACAGGACCTGTTCCACTGAGCCTGCCAGAACACAATGATGATGTGTTGAGGGTGCATAGAAGTCCCTTGGTCAAACCTACTTCAAGTACACATATGCTAGAAAAATGCAGTGAAAAAGGAAGAAAACATAGTGTCAATTCCTTTGAGTTCTCATATCTATTCCCTTGTGGTGCCTTGCACATGTTGTGTTGGTGTCTGCTGCGTTCACCTGCAGAAAATGGATGGTCTCATTGTGTCGTCGCTGCTAGTGCTGTCCGATCGGCTGCAGGATGCATCAGTGGATATGTGTGCACATGCAAGGTGGGTAATGGAGTAATGCCTGGAGCTGGCTGGGAGTTCTAGACTACTTCACTGATGTGATAGAATGCTTAAAGTAAACTGTGAGCTAAGTTAGCACTGCAACAAGAGTGATCTCCTGTCTTGAAAGACCAGCCTTTCCAGCCATTAGGTCATTTTGGCCTACATTAGTGTGGACCGGTTTTGAAAGACCACTAGTCTACAAAGACCAGTTTTCTGCACACCGCAGGGAACAGGGTGGCTGCCAAACTCTCACTATACCATGATACTGGTCAGTGCTGTATGGTAGAACTCGCAGAGCTTCAAGTACTGATCATTCCCTGCAACAGCACAGCCTCTGTTTGAAGGTTGCAAGCTTGCAGCCCTGCACTGCTTCTTTTCTCCTATTTTAATTATTTTGGTGATAGGTCATTATTTCTCTGCCCAACATTATCGCTGTTACAATGCACAGACTGAAGTAGAGGCATGCGGCATACAACACTGCACATGCCCTCAACATCTGCCCACAGGACACATGCAAACGTGGACTTTTACGGACGGACCCTCCGTTAGTCCAGTTATCCATGAATGTACCAGTACCGGGGGTAATATACAATGTAGATCTCATGTAAGATGATGTGATCCTGTAGTGTGGAAATGATGACTGTTGCCCGCTTCCATCTATCAATATCATGATGCATATATGGATGCAAGTGAACTTCAAGTATTATGTTGTAACTCAACGTTGCATGCCTTAGCAATCATCAGACAATCTCTTTTGAATGTACTCTGCATATGATTATCCTTTACGAAGGGAGGTGAGGGATTGGCAAAGGCAGCAGGATCATGGATCAGACTCCCGAATGACGCCCATCAACGGGGACGCGCAGTCGGATCGAATAGATCAGATATTCAACGGTGTATCTCCGTTCCCCGACAGTACCCTGTATCCACCGTGGGGCGCTGAACACCAGGTTTGAGTTATACCCAAGAGTCTGCTGTGTCTGAGTCATGTGTTGCCGCGTGACGAATACTTGCCATGATAGTCATTAGTCGGATGCCTACCTGCTCAATGTTGTTATTGCAGGCTAATTGTTGATCTGTGTGTTGCAAGGCACATGCGCGATTGATTATGTGTATGGGCCGGATGACTAGCCCCATGTGTGCCGTCACATGATGGCAGATGATTATATTCCTACATAGATAACCGTCCACATAGCCATGGACATGCTGAGCCTCGGTGTCGGGTGGTGTTCGGCTGGTGGAATTTCCTGCAAATTTCTCCTTTGCGTGGAATTGATGGCTAAGCAGTCAAGTCTTATCTTGAGGATTATCTTCATAACCCTTACTGCTTTCTGAGCTGTTACCATGTGTAGCCTTGATGATCCAATGGTTGGAGGGGGAGAGAGCCTCGGAGTAGAGTAAGAATGACTCTCTGATCAGTTCATGTACATTGCCGTCCGCCTTGCAAGCGTGCAGAATTGCCTTGGGCAGCATCTGCTGGTGTTGGATACACACACCTGTGCAGCCATGAGCCACCCGTGCGAGTACTGTAGTGCTCTCATAGCTATGGGAGGGGGGGGGGGCTGTTGTTAGTGCCCAATATCCTGGCTGATCAGAATCTGTGGCTGAACGTTGGCATACGATATCGCTCTGTCGCTTGTTACATATGAACACATTGCTGGCCAGACAAGACAGGCACCACCTGCTGACTGTGACTGTAGCTTCAAATCGGTTACAGTCTGCGTACCGTCAATTTGCAAACATTTACTGTTGCTCTTCAAGGTCAACATGGTCGAGAAAAAAAGAGCAAGAGAGTTGACTGTAAAGAGCAGGAACTAGAACTATGAACAAGAACGAATGACAGGAAACTGTACAAGAGCATGCATAGTGCAACCGGGTTATCATATGAGATGGTGGTGTAACCGTGATGTGAAGACGTGAGATCTGTTTTTTTGCACCCAATTTCAGGACATACTGGTAGTAGATGAGGTCAAGAACAGCTGAACATCTATCCTTCTGGGTGATGATTCCCTGTGTGCTCTAATTGTGTCTGTGCTTGGCTGCAGTCTGATCTGTGTACACTGGCATACGGCTGCATGTGCTCTGACCCAGAGCATCCCCCTCCCTACATGCAGTCCACAAAGAAGATGCTGGACAACTTCTGCGGTGTCTACCGCCTCTTGATGCAAGACGAACGGTAGGTCTTTATTGTGCCAATGTAGATCTTCATTGTGTCAATGCTGCCTCACAGTCACTTGAGAGGTTTAAAGACTATCTTGTATGCCTGCCTATCCCTCTCACTGGGTGTTTGACTTTTGAGCATGTCACTCAAGGTGTGTGTGTGTGCGCTGTTCTGCCAAGTGACAAAGATGAAACTTGTGAATGTTTGTGTGTGCGTGTGTGTGTGTGTGTGTGTGTGTGTGTGTGTGTGTGTGTGT